GTTGCACGGCGTCCAGGCTTTGGTGGTGTTTGTTCTTTTGTATTTGTGTATCAGCTCGTGTGTAGTGTATATTTTAGGTAAGAAACTAGTTTATTACAATTAGTCATTTGCCCCTGTAAATTCAGTGGCGACATACTTTTTAACTATTCATATGTGTTGGTTACTTATAGATATCTCGAACAAATAATATGGATGAGCGGACTGAAGTAGCAGATTTATTAGGAACATGGGGTTTACCTGAATTGGTTCCAGTTTTTAAAGGTTAGGTATTATTATTGCACTCCTTTAATTACACTATTGTAGTTTTGGGGTCCGAAAAAAAATCCAAAAATGTGAAAATGCCATTCCGACTGAAAATGGCCTCCTGAATCCAATGATGCCCACCAAAAGTCTCCATCACGTCGGAATTTCGAGAATAGGGCCTATACTATAGGCACTCACACTCAAAATTTATCGAATGCTTACCCCTGTTATCATGCAAGTATGTTACGTTGTACAGGGTGGTCCACGTAAGGTGACCCATATACTTATCTCAGAAACTACGGGAGTCACAAAAAATTTGTAAGAAACAAATATTCACGAAGTAAAAAATATTTTTTAAATATTATATTTTCATTTATACAGGGTGTTCGGTTTTCCTTGGGACGATACCAACTTTCTTATTTTCAATGGAACACCCTGTATTTTTTTGCATTTTTGGATTCTTCCCACTCTTTTAGGTATACTTTGTAAATATATTAAATAAGAAAATGTTAATACTTTTTGAGTAAAATTAAGATTTATTAAAATTTTTCTAAATGTAGACACTCGCTAAAAGTTAAAAATAACCAACTAAAAGTTATTATTTTTTATATTATGTAGTATCCATCTCTTTAATAATAAGTAAGCTATAAGTTAATTATTATATTTTTTGGAAAATATCATACAGGGTGTTTTCTATGTCCCGTTGAAAATAGCGATTTTAAAAGTTTAAAATCTTGTTTTTCTTCAATGGAACACCCTATATATTTTTGCATAATTGGATAGAATAAGTAATTACCTTTCATTTTATATATATATGTCCTATACCTAAACCTAACAGAAAAAAAAATATTCGCATTTTTCACAATTAGTAGCTTTTTTCCAATTACCTTAGTTAAATTTTCATTATTCAAATAAATAAATTTCAATAACAACAAATAAAAATGCTTTTATATATAAATATATATTACTATAATAATTACCATACGCGCAAAGCTACTAATTTTGTAAAATGCGAATATTTTTTTTAGGGGATCCACGTAAGGTGACCCATATACTTATCTCAGAAACTACTGGAGTCACAAAAAATTTGTAAGAAACAAATATTCACGAAGTAAAAAATATTTTTAAAATATTATATTTTCATTTATACAGGGTGTTCGGTTTTCCTTGGGACGATACCAACTTTCTTATTTTCAATGGAACACCCTGTATTTTTTTGCATTTTTGGATTCTTTCCACTCTTTTAGGTATACTTTGTAAATATATTAAATAAAAAATTGTTAATACTTTTTGAGTAAAATTAAGATTTATTAAAATTTTTCTAAATGTAGACACTCGCTAAAAGTTAAAAATAACCAACTAAAAGTTATTATTTTTTATATTATGTAGCATTCATCTCTTTAATAATAAGTAAGCTATAAGTTAATTAATTTATTTTTTGGAAAATATTATACAGGGTGTTTGTTTTCTTTAATTAATGAAAATTTAACTAAGGTAATTGGAAAAAAGCTACTAATTGTGAAAAATGCGAATATTTTTTTTTCTGTTAGGTTTAGGTATAGGACATATATATATAAAATGAAAGGTAATTACTTATTCTATCCAATTATGCAAAAATATATAGGGTGTTCCATTGAAGAAAAACAAGATTTTAAACTTTTAAAATCGCTATTTTCAACGGGACATAGAAAACACCCTGTATGATATTTTCCAAAAAATATAATAATTAACTTATAGCTTACTTATTATTAAAGAGATGGATAATACATAATATAAAAAATAATAACTTTTAGTTGATTATTTTTAACTTTTAGCGAGTGTCTACATTTAGAGAAATTTTAATAAATCCTAATTTTACTCAAAAAGTATTAACATTTTCTTATTTAATATATTTACAAAGTATACCTAAAATAGTGGGAAGAATCCAAAAATGCAAAAAAATACAGGGTGTTCCATTGAAAATAAGAAAGTTGGTATCGTCCCAAGGAAAACCGAACACCCTGTATAAATGAAAATATAATATTTTAAAAATATTTTTTACTTCGTGAATATTTGTTCCTTACAAATTTTTTGTGACTCCAGTAGTTTCTGAGATAAGTATATGGGTCACCTTACGTGGACCACCCTGTACCTAAGAATCATTGTTAAGTTGTTAAACAAAGGCTTGCACTTCACGTAAACATCACGGTTTACTGAAGAAGTATAGTCAACTTTCATCTTAATGTACCTATCTGTGTATATTTACCAAAGAATCGTTTTTGTTTTATTGTTAAAATATTTATAAATGTTTTCTTAGAGTAATTATAATTAATATATTAATTTTTGTTATAATGTTTAAACCAAAATTTGGTGTTTTCAGTTTTATTGTTATTTTTTAATTTATAATAAATATTTATAAAACGAACGGGCATGAATTTCCTTTCTCTATTTTTTATAATATTTACACAAAAAGTGTTATATTTACTAAGCAGGTATGTACTGTGGAATAATACCAATTTGTTGTTGCTACTAATGCAAGCATTTAATATTAAATATAACTTAGTTACAGTACAAAACAAATTTATATTATATCAACTATTAAATTCTTTAAATGTACCTTTTTTTATGTAATTTCAATTAAAAAATAAATTCCTGCATGATACAATGTTTGTTGCGATAAATAGCAAGTGCAGTTGTTACAACTTAGACGCTGCTAAAATGACAGACTAATGTGATTGCATTAAATATCAATTATTTGTATGAAAAAAAAAACTAATTTCGATGCACTTAAACTTGTTGGTTGGAGCTACCAATATTGGCTGTTCCGACAACAAACTGTAAAAACAAATTTGTATTAGTTCCCACAACATATTTTTTTGTTGTGCCTATTTTCACTAATAAAATTGGTTCTGGGAACTAAATTTTCATTGCAAATACCAGGTCTTTTTTAAGAGTGTGTGTGTATGTCAGATACCAACGTTCTAATATGTTGTATTCTACATTCGTAAAATTCGACAAATACGCCTCACTGTCATAATATGACAGTGAAATGTATTTGTTGTCCCCTTAAAAAATTTTGCGACATATTAATATATATTTATTTAAAAATATTAAATAAACAATTTTATCTCTAAACCATAAGTTGTATGACATTATTTTATAAACATTAAAATTTGAAAATTTTGTGGGATAAGTCAGATTAGATTGAAGTTGAAGATAGTTAGAATTATTATACATAAAAATGTTAATTCAGAAATAAAAAATCGGTATACAAATTAATAAATATTTATTTTTAACATAAAATAAAATACCTATAGTTAAAGTATTTTTGTTATCGAATATTGTTTTAATTTGATAAATAACTATAAAAAAATATTTTGGATTGTGTTTTTTACTTAGTATTTAATACTAATTACTAATAAGGTACTTAAGTACCTATAGGTATTAATATATAATTTTTACCACTAAAACTTTGCACCTTCTAAGAACCTGCTTATAGGCCAGTAAGAATATTCTTAGCATCATCCTATATGGGCAAATTTTCGTTAAATGTACATTTGCTGTCCACAGCTAATTTTATTTTTATTTTTGACCTTTGTTGATAAGTTTTGTTTTTATTATATTTAAATACCCCCTTTCTGTTAGGACCCATCGTATTATTTTTTTTAATTACTTTGTGTTTCTATATATGGCAGAAAAACTAGGTAAAATGTCCTGTAACCTAACTGTCCCCAGAGGCGATTTTTTAATTTAAATTATTATATTCTTCTTCTTTGCAGCTTTCTTCTGAAAAATAAATTATTTTTGAACAATGGAAAGTTCTTTTATTACTAAAATAGTTTTCTACAAAGTAGTTTAAACAGAAAAAAATATTAAAGTTGACATTCAAAAATCTTGTCTTTTTCCTAACGTCGTCTTCTGTGCCGACCGCTTCGAAATAGAGACACTAGCGTTTTATTTCTAGAGGGCATCCAGTTTGATAGTTCGGCAACAACAAATGAGCACGTGTAAAGTGTGTGAATTTTTTTGTTAATATTTTAAAGGTAAGATTTTTTTGCGTACACTTTTTGGTGTCTTTTACAAAACGCTACATACAACTCTTGTTTTAGAAGTTAACTTTTTTATTTTCATTTTGTATTATAGCATAGTAGAAATTTCAAACAAATGCCGAAAGATATTTACATTTAACAGTATTTCTGAAAAATAACGTTTGAAAAAGTCAAAAGCAATGTGTCATAAAACGTTCAGGAAGATGCGTTAGGAGGAGGACAATGTTTCATTTCTTCCTTGTGTTCCTTCCCTATTTCAGATTAACCCTATCAGTTTTATTTCTTTAAAGTATATTTTTGGTATTTATAAACTTATAGATTTTTTTGAGTATATTACACTGTTCTATTACAAAGGAAAAAAAATCAAATTGACCTGCCTGGACAAAATATATATACAAAATGTACATTTAACGAAAATTCGCCCATATGTATTTAAGCATGTTCTTTAGAAGAAATATAGCACGATCCTAAGAATATTCTCACACTCTCACAGAACATTCTTAAAACAAAGGGTTTACCCTACGTTTTCATTAATTTAAATTCAACCTTCATATAACATAATCATAAAAATAATTCCAGTTGAATTATTCAAGTATTATTCAACCGTGTATATCTTTTAGATTGGGGTTGTAGTCCCCGAAGAGACCCCCGTAACTCGCGACGCAACAAAACGAAAACCCAACTTCGCCAAACTTTATTTAACGTACCTTTTTGTTGCTTCTGTTTCAGACTAAAGCGCACCTAGACGTGATAGCCGACGCGCTGCTTCAGTGGGCGCGTGGACGTTAACCCCCCAAGTGACCGGGCTCACGGAGCGGCACCCGCTTGTCAGGTCCGCTTGCCTCTCCGTTTAGCCCCCAGCTCCGCCCACTGACTAAGCGTATACTTCAGAGAGGAATAAGACTTCGCCAGCAGCAAGCACACGCACGTGCTGTCCGCCGGACCCGACCCTAGTCTCTAACCTCACTTTCAGTTCCCGTTCGACGTGTTTGGAGGGCTCGTTTCGTTCTTCTTCGAGATCCTGCTGCCAGCGCAATGGATTGCGGCTGCCAGTGTTTGTCAGACGGACTGTGCTGCGGCTTGCCACGTTCAAAAAAATCATTCCCAATTGACTAGCGAAAACCCACTCTCCAACAAAAACCGCATCCCTCTGCAGGCCTAAGCTTCAAACTAAATTCGCACGCCCTTTTATTTTCAGTATTGCCAACTCTCAAAAGTTTACTTCAAAATTTACCATTTATTTTAGTATATCTACTCCAAAAACTTACTTTTTAATGGTATTGGGGGCAATAAAAATAATTATTTATTTGTTGTAAGGCTCTCTACGAAGATAAAACCATAGATTAATAACTTAAAACTCGAGATAACCTAAATCTTACGTTTCACAATGGAGCCGCGTAAATAAAAGTAGTGCCAACCCACAGAAAAAGATTATTTCAGATTTCTGAACTATCATAAAGCTTGTTCCAACTCTACGGCTTGTTCCTATCGTCAGAGACATGCGCATTTCTAAAATCGCGTCTGTATGTTCGGTAGGGACAAACCTTATAGAATAAGTATACTAAATTTGTGTTAAGACGAGAATTAATGGTTATCTCTATAATTATTTTAAATAAGATAGAATTCCTCAAATAAAATAATAAGTACATTTGCAATTTTCCCTGTTTGGTGTAAAATTCACCGAGTTGGCAACCCTGTTTATTTTAATTTATATTCCTGATAGAACCGTAGATTTATCTGCAAGCTAAATCAAATTGTTACAAAGAACAAACAAATTCGTTACGTCACATTTGTTACAATTTTATCGCTGTTAATAATGTTATTAATATTATAAATTTAGGAATGTTATTATTGTGTCTCGACTTGGTTTAGGGTAATGATTGAAGCAACATTGTGATCTCCTCGTATAACCCAAATTCATTCGTATTTCGCACTTTAATTACCTAATTAATAACAAATAATATAAAACCAAAAAAATTGAATAGTCGTTAGTGGAGTTATTAGATGTTATGCATTATTTATGAATGTATTTCAATAGGTAGCTTTGGATGTACTATATTATATGTATTATTGTATTGGAGCACCTATATTCTAGTGAATGAATTTGGTGGATGCACTAAGGGAGTTGCGTCGTTTTGGATGAAACACATGGAGGCTGGGCCGTCGTTCGCAAACCAAGTCTGCTATCACTTTAAACACAAGTAATGGTATCGGGCGATGATTTATCATCCTGAGCCACCGAGGTCCATTGATTGGGTTTTCGAGGCAGTAGAACTCCATTTGCGGACGGCGGTTACATGGTTTTTCATGCACAAGGCGCACGATTGATGATCGAAAACGAACGAAACAAACATGCTTCCGTCACCTGCAAGAACATGTTTGTTTTGTGCGGCGCACAAGTCGAGATTGCGCGATTGTTAAACGATAAATTTTTATTTATTTAATCTAATAATGTACTAACAAAGTCTGAATATTTAAGTTCCATATTAGTTAGTACTGAAAGTAATTAAATTGAGATATAGACAAACTAAATCGAAATATCGGCCTACATATTACAAAAAAATAGCTGATAGATTCCACAAGATAGCGCAGTTGAAAGATTTTACACTTTGCCCGTTGCGCACTTAAAATCAATTCTTGATGAGGTGAAAACAAGCGAAATCAGATCAAGTCAATAACCTGCATTTGGACATTTGTGAATTGCTTTATCGCAAACCATTTTGATTATTTCCTGTTACGAGGCACATTGGGAATAGTTTTTTACACAAAATTATTGCACTTTTATAATTAGGCAATACATATTCAAAACCTTAAAACCATTGTTTTAACTAGAGATGCGACTTGAAAAAAACGGTCCGTTTTTTTTTCAGGTTTTTTTTTCATTGTTTTTTTCAAATGGTTTTTTTCACATTTTAGTTTTTTTTTCAAAGTTAGTCCCATTTGCCTAATTTTTTAGGTTTCATGGACTAAAATTAGCCACTAAATGACAATTGCGCTATGCACGCGCCACCACCACCGAATTGACCAATAAGGGCCGCGCTTGTTTTGATTTGGTCCTAAAAAAAGTAACTACATATAATATTTTTGATTCAGCTCTTGATTTTTCAAAAAGCTACCAAAAGCACTTTTTTCATGATTTTTGAAATTCATGTAGAATATGGAAATTTTTTTTCAAAAAAACAATAGAAAATTATTGTAGAACATTTATTCATTGCTGGTTAAGTCAGAACATTCCGTGGACCAGAAAGCCAAAAAAAAACGATTTTTTTTATTACGGTATTTGTTAGTATTGAGCGTTGCACATTTTTCATCTAAAAATCTCAAAACTAGAAACTTCAAGCTTCAAATTGCTTTTTTTACGGCTCCAATCCGACCATTTTTAACAAAGATACAGCTATCCGAAGAATCGCAAAACAATTTTTATATCCTTTAAATTTTTTTATTAGTTTAGAAGTTTTACATTGCTACTGGTTTCTAATGTGGAAACTACCAAATAATAAGAAATCAGATTTTTTAGTCTCGGTCAAAATTTTCAATAATGAAAAATTTAATATATTCTACATTTCACTTTATTATTAATATATTTTTTACTCAAAATTTCATTTTGAAAAAAAAACAAAAAAAACCAAGGTTTTTTTTCATGTTTTTTTTTCATATCTGAAAAAAACCGTTTTTTTTACATCTCCAGGTTTAACACAAATCTCACGGCATTCTTCATCGCATCTGTCAACTGTCACCAGAATTTAACCTCACTTTTCCTAAAGAGCCTAAAAGCCACTGTTTCTAACTTCAGCCCGTGACTAAAACGCCATAAAGTCACAGCTCGCCAATGCATGGTAGATAAAAATACAAGCAGTACTGTTTTTTTGTAAATTCTTAGCTTTGCAATGAAAATATTCATTGAAAAGTTTATTTTAAGTTACGGGAAATTCAAATGAAAATTAGATATTTTTTTCAGAAAGGTGAGAATTTTTTACATAAATTATGTCATTTTTATGATGATGATATATGATTTTTATGATAAAAAATATTCAGTGTTGTTCTTAAAATGTTTCTTAAATATATATTGCCTAATTATATTAAAAAGATACCATGTAAAAATAAAAAAATCTTATGAATTTTAAGAGCAATTTCGGTAGTGCTTGCCTAAAGTAATAATACGTTAATAATTCATAAAATCTATGATTTTGTTTTAGCAATGTAGGTAATTCTAAAGATAGTATATTAGGATAACAAACATAATATGGAAAATAAATAGAACTTTTATTTACAAAATAGATTTATTTTTTTAAGAAATTCATTAACATGTATATTTTGTAATAAATTTTTTAATTGAAAAATATATTTTTTCCTATGAAAATGTGTACATAAATAATGACTATCATACTTATTCAAAAAAAAATACTGCAAAACCTGCAAGCAATCATAGACAGTGATAATACTAGTATTAATAAGATTAACAGTATTATTTCCCATTCGACTTCGTTTCTAATAATAATAATAATAATAATAATAATAATGAACAGGTAAATTGTAAAATCTATCAACTACACGCCAGGGGGAGAAGAGCAGGCCCTAAAATGTATTTTTTTCATTAAAATAAAAAACGGAATAGATTTTAGTTGTTATCAGGGTCAAAAGGCATGTCCATAATCCTAACCTCTTGTCCTTCCTTAAGAAAAGCTTCTTGAAAATAATTTCCGACTTGGTGAAGTCAAAATGTATTTTGAGAAGCTTACCAAAATTGTCCCTGACTTACTTAGGCATAAGAAAAAGCACAGCTGCACGATAAAGCACCATATTACGCACCAATATTGTTGTGTTTTTCTCCATTATTTTAAAGTGTCGCAAGTGATGTAAGGAACGGCTTTGCCGGCATTTTTCAATGTGATATGATATAATTATAATCCTGCCACAGGACATCTGTTTTTCTCTAACGTTTGACTATGTGTGACTTTTTATCACATATTTAGAACTGGCAGACTCCTTAAATAAAAATATAGTAAACAAGAACTCACCTGCCTATTGTTCACAAGATTTACTTTTTATAAACATACACTTATTAATTGCAATAATTTCAAATTACTACATTTTCAATACTAGGTTTTATACACCAGTGGCGGACTAAACCTGTCGGTGGGTAAATTAAAATGGGGCACCTAGTCTGCTTATGAAATAATGTGATTGTTTTGTAAATATTAATGTTTTGTTATTTTAAATTTGTTGGTGGTTCTTTGCAACACTCTTAATGTAATCAGGGATATGAAAATTGATTACAAGCTTTTTCCAGCGAACTTATAAGTATACTTACTTATATTTGAACTTGTTAATAATTTAAATTTTAAAAATCAAGGGGCCACTCATGGCAGTCTAAGATTAACCATTATTTAATGTAATTATATCCTTTTTTCTAATTCCTGATGGATTGCAGCTAGGGGCTCCCGAGACCAAAATATTAAAAATCTTTTTTAATTTTGACCTTACATTTTGTTTTTTTTTCATATCATTTTATTCTTTGGAATTTTTTAATCAGTTTATATTTTATCGTAAAGTTGGGTCCTGAAATATTTATACCTATACTAGGGTTTAAAGTGTCAAAAAAAAACGAAAAAATTGGGAAAAAACCAGGCCTTAAAAAATGTCTTTTTTGGGAAAAATTGTTTTTTTTTTTTGAAAAAAATATACAATTGAAAAAAGTAGCAATCAACAACTTAACATTATTTTAATTAAAAAAAATTAAACTAAACTTTCAATTAAATTGAATTGATTTAAAAAAATTATATTATGATTATATTCAGCGTCGGAAATTCACTTTTTTCTCGATATCAGTGTACGGACCTACATATCTGTAAAAATTTGAAAATTTTTTAAAAAATTGACTTTTGCATTTTTTCGTATTACTCTTTAAATAAAATAAGAAAAATGCAAGTCAATTTTTCTGAAAATTTCCCAATTTTTTTCCGGAAAAAAACGTTTTTTCACGCCGGCTCAATTTTTCCGAAAATTTTAAAACCCTACATTTTAGATAGTTTAACCTACTTTTTCGCAATTTATAATGAAGCTAACTTCAGCCCGTGACTAAAATGCCCAAAAGTCACTGTTGCTAACTTCAGCCCGTGACTAAAACGCCATAAAGTCACAGGTTATCAATGGTGGAGTAGATAAAATCACAAATAAATGACAATGACATTTTTTTTTAATAAGTGACGTACGATTTTTTGTTAAAAAACCCTATGCAAGCCATTGAGTAGCCTACTAACGAATTATTTCCTATTAAAAAAATATT